CCTCGCAAGCACAAGGTCCCGAGTTTGATTCCCAGTACCAAAAAATAAAAATAAAATAAAAAAAAATAAAAACATACTTAGTTGATGACAGCACCATGTATATAATTTCACTAGCTGGGATTTCAAGCTCACTTCCTCTGCCGTACACAAGTCACATAACCTTGGACCAGTCACTTCTCTGGGACTCAAGTTTTTTCCAAAATAAAGGGGTGACAATGTCTCTGAACTCGTGCAATAAGTGGTGGCATATTAGATAATGTTGTAGGGAAAATATCAGCTCCAATTCCTGGTTACACTGGGCACTGAATGTCAGCTTCCCTAAAAGAAAGCAAAGTTTCCAATACTTCCAGCATCCTTTGGCCTGTCCTCCGGTGGCCTGTGCCCTGAGAAGCTGGTAGGGTTGGAGTACAGAAGTGGACTTTTGTTCACTAGGGCTGCTGTAACAAATCACCACAAACTTGGTGGCTCAAGACAACAAAATTTTATTTGTTCATGGTTCTAGAGGCTAGAAGTCTGAAAGTAAGGTTGGGTGGGGCTATGTCTCTTTTAGAGGTTCCGTGGAAGAATCTTTCCTTTCCTGATAGAGTTTCTAGTATCTACCAGCAACCTGTGGCCTTCCTTAGCTTGAGGCTGCATCACTCCAATCTCTGCCTCTGTCTTCACAGACTCCTCCCCTGTATCTCTGGATAACTCTGCTCCCCACTCATGCTGGATTAGGGTCCAGTATGACCAGCATGGCCTTAACTTGATAAGGTCACATTCACAGCAATTTAGTCCATGACAGACACTCATCCTCTCTCTATAAACCTAAGTAGTGAGAGCAAAGCAGGAACACATGGCGAAGGGCCCAGGAGCACAAGGAAAGCTCAGAGTCATCTTGGAAATGATGCCTGCTTCCACTACAGGCTGATGGGCCAAAGTGGTTCAGCTGCCATATGTGAATTCTTCTTGAGTTTTCTCTGGTCTTTGTCTATTTCCACCAGGCTCTGTATTTCTCTGCTCTAGAAAAGTGTGCAGGAGAAGCAAAGAGAAGAAGCTGCTTGAAGATTTCCTTTTATTTTCCATTGTGTCACTAAAATCTAAACTTACTACAGAGAGTATGCCTTGGGTTATGGATAAGGATTGCCTTTAAGGGGTAAGAAAGGGTGGGGAAAAGTTCCTACCCTGAGAAGGGCTCAGGGCAGTGTCTGTTCGTCCCATCCTGCTCAGTGGCAGCTGGGAGAGGAGAATTCCCAGAAGGGGTGTTGGGTTGGTCCCTGGGGCTAGTGGGGCCCACGTAAGTGCTTGCAGCCTTAGAAAGTAGCAGAATGATAAAAGGACCACAGGAAATGTAGGGAGGAGATCACAAGATCTAGTTTACATCCCCTGCACATTCACAGATCCTTAGGAAAGAAGATGCTCTGGTAGTGCCTAAATTTAACACATCAACTTCCTAGGGGTTCAGGATCAGAGTCAAGGTGATGTAAAAGAGAGAAACAAATGCATCATTTCTTATGTACCTAGGGGTGCTGCCTGAGATTGGACTGTGCTTTATTCCTGATCCTTAAAACAATGCTGTATAGCATTAGAAGGACCCTCCTAACCACGGGGACTTTGGCTTCACCCCTTTTAAAAGGATGCCTAGAGCACTTGCATTTCCCATCAGCCCCACCAGGTCCTTCTGCTAGGCTCTGGGCCACAGGTCAGGACTCCCATCGGGAAAAGGGCTGGGCTAGCTGCTGTTAGCTCCATGGGCACCACAGACACAGCAGAGCCCTGAAGACAGAGTCTGGGGATACAGTAGCCCTCATTCCTCTGTGACAGCCCCAGTAAAGATGGGATGGAGGAAAGCAGGTCTGAAGCCTGAGGTCTTTTCTTCTAGAGAAAGAAGAGGAAGACCGTGGGGTACACGGACTGAGCTGGAGGCAGCCAAGCCCTGCAGGCAGTGATGCATCCTAGGAAGTGGAACGTCCCTCTGGCCTGTTGGGCCATGGCTGACCTCCTGCTGGCCAGCTCCCTGGAAAAGCAGCACTGGGTACAGGTGAGCCTGAAGGAGGGGCAGGTTTTAAGATGGACTTAGATCTACTGACCCAGACATTTCAGGGATCCGAGAAGAATCTCGGCAACCCAACCAACACTGACTGAGCCCTGCCCTGAGCAGACAGTGCACAGAGTTCAGTTCACAGAGTTCAGTTCACAGAGTTCAGTTCACAGAGTTCAGTTCACAGAGTTCAGTTCACAGAGCAGACAATTCAGAGAGTTCTATGCAACGCTCATTCTAGTCCCCAAGTTAAAAATGAGGAAACTGAGGCAGGAGGATTGAGGATCCAGGGTTGCTCAGCTATGGTATAAGACTGAAGTAAGCTGATCTGTAAGTACATCTATAGCTAGGGCTTTGAAAACAAAAAGCAAGATATTACAGGTAGAACAGAGATGGTTTTGGGATCAACAGATGAGGAAGGATTTTGGCAGGAAGTTGTGTGAGTTGAGATCTAAAGAAATCATCCAAGTGAAAGAAAGATGGAGAAAATCCCAGTGAGAGGGAACAGTGTGTGCAAAGGTCCTGTGCCAGGAAAAACTCTGAAATAGCCAACAAATCAAAAACAGCCAAGATGTTTGGAGCATTTTGAGAGAAAAGAAAGGGGCTCAGAGATGACACTAGATAATGCAGGCCAGGGTACAGAATCTAGATTTGATCTGTATGCCAGGCCACTGAAGGGATTAAATGTTAAAGTGACATAGTTAGATTCACTCAGGCCAAGTCTAACCCACAGCTTGCCACACAAAGGAAATCTATGAAAGGCTACGGAATATCTCAATAAATAGACTCAAACTAGATTTCAGAAAAGATATAAACTGCTGGATGTACAGAAGAAATAAGATTTCAGCCTTTGCCCGTGAGGAGAACAAGCAGTTTCGCCTAATCCAAATTCACTTTCATGCCTCTCTGCTTAAGCAGCATGCAGAGCCACTGAAATCCACAGGCACATCATAAGAGAATAATTTCAGTGATCATTATCAAATGCCTCTATTTAGAAAAGCTCAGAAGATTGTATTAGCACAATCCAATATTTATGAAATGACATTCTGCTCTAACGAGGGGCTGAAAAAATTAAGATTAGATGCAAGTGTCATGTCTTTGGGGGAGAGACAATGGCGTGGGGGGAAGCAGCGGTCTCACTCAGCTGCTTGCAATCTCACTTTTCTAATCTGTAAGATGGGAAGGGCAGTAGCAAAGGACACACATGTGACCAGTTACTACAGGGCCCAAAGGCCTTTGATAATGTTTATCATTCATTCCTTCACTACAAAACCACGTGATTAAGACTATTTGCCCATCCATCCATGCATCCTTCTAACAAGATGTCATTTAGTACACACTCTGCATGACACACTGCATTAGGCACTACAGATAAAGCTATGAATGATACTGCTGTGGTTTCTAGTCACAAAGAACAATTCATCTAGGGGTACAGCACACAACAAACAAATAACAGCAGCTATGATGCATGTCACTGGAAAAAAAATGCACTCTACCATTGGAATCATTACAAGGAGAGCTGGTCAAGACTGAGGTAAGAAGAGGAAGTACCAGACAATAAGGGGGAGGAAAGAGCTCCATGGAGAGACCCAGTGTTGTATGAATTCCTGAGGCAGGGAAGTCAGAACGTTCTGGAAGCTGACAGAAGCCAGAGGAAACTGAGCACAGGGGACGTGGAACTGGATGCAGGTGGAGGTTGAGGTAGGATCAGCCATGGGGCCTAGAGGTTGCAACCGGTCTCTGGTATTCTCAGAGCAATAGGAGGCCTCTCAGTGTTTAATTTTGTACTGCAGCACAGCTTTATTACACCTAAGGCTTCTGTCAACTCTCAAGAGAAACAGATATAATGTATGTCCTTAATAGGAATAGACAGAGCTACCCAATGGCCTCTTGCTTTGGAGCCAAACTCAGTCAATAAGGCCACTCCCCCCTCTAGACACTTCCGACCATCTTCTTTGCCTCCAGCTTAGTCGAGTCTGAAAAACATGCTTCTGCAGAAGTTGCCTAGAACACATGATACTAGGTAGTGAGCTATGGAGGTCTAAAATTCCTAAGAAATGTGCAGGCTGGAGGCATAAATGTTGGAATTACCAGTGTACAGATAGTAGCTGAAACCATGGGAGTAGGGAGGCCGTCTGTGGAAAGAGTATCAAGCAAACTCAAAGGAACTTCAGCATTTAAAGGTCAGGTAAGCTGACCAAGGAGAGCAGGAAAGCGTGTCAAGAAGGGCTGGTGGAAAACAAAGATGGTGTGTGGGCCACGTGAGGGAAGACCTCTGGTCAGGGAAGACCTGTAGAGAATGGCTATCTTCTCCAACAACCATCGTCTCCCCAACTCTACCAGAGGATGATCTTAACTTTCTAAGAGCTGCAATTCTTTCTGGTTCATATCACCAAGTAAGCCTTTTTGAGACTCATCTTATCCAAGTATGCCCTACTCAAAAGGTGTTTTCTCTGAGTATGAGGTACTTCCCCCAAAGTACATCAGCTGTATCTCTCAGAGCTTGGCCCATGCAAGTATCCATCAAGAATTACATTGGGCTTCTGAGCCCATGAGTGAAAGGTAAGGCTGGTATTCAGAACATCAGGATACTAACACTATGACTAATATTCTGATTTTAGGAGTCCCCAACCTGTGTCTGTGTGGCCTAGAGTGAAGCAGATACTTCAAATTCTTCTGTGGCTCTTTCTTCTCCTAAAACCCCACTGCTGTCAAAACTTCAAAGCAAAACCTAGTGATGCCTTATGTATAGCTAGAGCTTAGAATCTCAAAGTTAAAGGAAATCCTAAAGGTCCCCAAATCCAGGTGACATGTGACTCTCACTACATCCTGAAGAGTTCACTCTGAGGACAGAGAACTCACTACCTACAGTTATCTGTTGCCCTCCCAGACAGCTCAAACTTAGGAAAGTTCTTCCCCCGTGAGTCACTGTAAAAGCTAGTCATTGCCATTATAGCCCCAAACCTAATGGATCACGTACCTGTGGGCACTGCTGGGTCCAGCATTGGTTTCTCCCATGTGTTAATCTGCTCCCAGGTGAACCCATTGGTCCCCAGAGCCACACTATAACCACAGTTGCTGTAGTGCTCATCAAAGGAACAGCCTCCTGCAGACAAAAGAGAGAGGGGTAAATACATCCCTGTGTCTGAGACTTGGTTCGTTACCCCTGTCTCATCAGCTCTTCATTTACAGCTTTGAATTTGAAACTCTAGAAAAGACTAAAAGAAAAAGGCAAGCAAATTGGATTTTTATATTAGTTTTGGTGCTCTCAGGAAAGACACTGGCATCTCCAGGCCTCCCTATTTTAAAAAGTTAATAAGGCTAGTTACATTGATTTCAATCTTCCTTCCTGAGAAAGTAAACAGCAACGTCTCATTCTAAGTAGGAAAAATGAATGCCAGGGCATGCCTCTATAACTGCTTCCTGCTACATGGAGGGTTGCTGGGATGCAGCAGAAAGAGCACTTGCTTGAGTCTAGTAAAATTGGACCCACCCTTTAGCTTTACAAGGCTGTGTGAGCTTGGGTCACATGCTTAACACCTCTGTGTCTCAGTATCCTCATCTGTACCATAGCGGAAAATATCTACCTCACAGAAATATCAAATAGATTAACATGAAAAAAATAACTGGTACAGAACACACTCTCCATACCCACTTCCCACTTCCTTCTCTTTAAATGCAGTCTGAAAAATCATTTTTCATTGAGTAAGAAGTTAATCTGTGAGAAATCAGATAATCATACTCCTGGAAGATAGTACAGTTAAGGCTGATAGTGTTTAAAGCTTTTCCCTCTAACCTAAAGTTCAAGCCATCCACCATTTGACAATAAGTTATGCTCATCTGATTCTGACAAGAATCCCCTGAGCTTTGTGTGGTAAATTCCCTCAGGGTGACACTGAAAGGGATGTGGGACGTAGAATGGAGCCTCCAACTAAGAGATGCTTATGTGACCAAGGAAAGAGGAGCCTGCTATATTCTGAAGGAATCGGGAAAAGGAGAGGAGGATAATTAATAGGGTTCACAAGAATGGCAACATCTCCATGAGTGGAGAGCTGAAGGAGGTGTATTCCAGAGGGAGCCCATAGGCATGAGGCAGTAGCAAGAATAATCTTACACCAGCCTACTGGCTGGTCTCCCAGACCCATTTCATACATTGTCTATCTTTTCCACTGTCCCTTTCCTGTCTCCTTGATTTTCAGAAATCTCTCATACCATCATCACCCTCCATTAAACACACATACAACCCTCCATCACACACAGAGTATCTGCTATAGAGTAAATGCTATATGCCAAGTGTTCCTGGGAACAGCTGATTGAGATCCCTCCAGACTATGGATTTAAATGAGAGAAGGAAACCATGGCCAAGACATGGCTCTGTATGTCAAAAGGCTTCATTTGTTCCTCTTGCATACACAAAACACAGTTTCCAGGCCTCCTTGCATCTAGAGATGACTATGTGGCAAGTGCTTGGAACCTGTAATAAAGTGATAAAGTGATACCAACTAAAATAAATCTCTTAAAAGCAAAATCAAAAAGCAATCCTTTCACTCTCCACTGTGAGGACCTTCAGTGCTGTGGTGGAGAAGTGGTATCCAGGAAAAAGTCTAAATGCTTAAGGAAGAAAGCCACCCAGAAAGTTGCCTCACCAGTAGTATCAGTACTTAACTTCTGGGGAGCAAAATATAAACCTTTTTTTCTTATACCATTGATTTCTTAGGGTTTAGTTGTTAACATAGCAGAGCTTTGCACATCCTAATACAAGAAGCGTCATACCTCAGTACTTAGAAATAATTTAGAAGCATGCTTTCCTGAGTATTTACTCTAGCAAAGCAATATATTAGACTCTGATTGGCTATGCTGTCTGATTAGCTTTCATTTAATCCTCACAAATGGGAGGTACATTTTATCCCTCCTTTAAACATAAGGTAATTGGTGCATCGAGGAACTAAATCAACTGCTCAAGCCACACAGAAGAAAAGTGTTGGAGCCAAGATTAAATCCATGGCAAGCTAAACACAGATCTCCTGCTCCTTCTAATAGATCAGAAAGTCATTCCCCCAAACCAAGTACAAGTCATGCTATTTTAAGGTAAAAAGAGAAGACCAGGCAGATAAAATGCTCTGAAGGTAATTGGTCCTCTCAATTTGAATCCATGTCCTTGTTTATTCTAGAAATATTTTCAATAATGGCCTTTTTTAAATGGGCTCTGTTCAGGGATACAGGACCGACAAATGTTGTGGTTTGAATCTGAAATGTCCTCCAAAGGCCATGTGCTGGAGGCTCTGTGGCCAGCTGATGGCTTCACTTTTGGGAAGGGACTGGACCAGGAGGGCTCTAATTTCATTGATGGATTAATCTATTGATGAGTTCACAGCTCAGTGGGCTTGTTAGGAGGCAGGGCCTACTTGGATGAGGCAGGTCATGACAGCGGGCAGTTAGGGACTAATCTGGTACTCAACTCCTTCCTCTTGGGTGCTTTCCCTCTCTCTGCTTCCCAGATGCCATGAAGTAAGCGGTTTGGCTCCACCACACCCTTGCTCCACGAAGTTCTGCCTCAAGCGGGGAAACCACCAGTCCATGGAATTGAACCTCCAAAACCATGAGCCAAAATTAACTTTTCCTCCTTTTTTAAGTAATGTCAGGTACTATGCCACAGCAATGCAAAGCTGACCAACACAACTGATATGATCCTTACCCACACAAAGTTTGCCAAGCACAGGGAAAGACAAGCACACAAACACAGGTGCTTTCATGTAGAGGTTTTGTTGCTCAAAGAGGAAGTAATAAATTTTAGTTAATGGCTTAATTACACAGATTCTCTATACACAGATTTTAAACACAGATAGAATTTTACACAGATTCTTGCCTTTGTCTATGTAAGAATGAAGAAGGTTCACAGGTAAACCCTTGGGGATCCCAGGTCATGAATCACAGGCAAGATCACCCTGACAATTGGCCTTAGTCTGCTGGCCAGTTGCCCAGCTCTCATTTCCTTGCTTCTGAACAATCATAGGTAGACAGCTACTTCTGAACTGACTGCTGACAGGTCTTGCCCCCCTAAAGACTAGGGACACACCTCCTCTTCACAGCCATTTCCTAAATCACCTTGCTTTCCCCAACCACTGAACTCCAATGAACTCAATCAGCATATAGTGTGCAAATGTTTTTTCCCTTTTAGGAGTCTGACCTTTGACACTGGGGTCCCAGGCTTCTTGCAGTGAGGATCTTCAAAGCCGTGGAGGAGCACTCAGAGTGACATCAAAAGCAGCCTTGCATTCTAACTTGAGCCACTACTTCTTTGAGATATTCAGGCCTGCAGCCAGTTCTATCCCATTCTGCTGGAAATTGTCATCTCTTATAAGACCATCAATGTCCCTCCTACAGAAGAGTCTCTAAAAGATAAAGATCTCTCTCTCTCTCTCTCTCTCTCTCTCTCTCTCTCTCCTCTCTTCTGGATCTTGGCAGTACACATGGATCATGACTTTTCTATGAAGCTCATGGACTCCCAGCAAAGCAGGAAGTAAGGCTAAGGCTGGTAAAGTTCAGTGCCCCACCATGTTTTGGATAAACTTAGAACATAGACTACAATTCAAGGGATGTGTCTAATTGGTCAGTGGTATAGCCTAAGGAGCCTCAACATAGAATCAGGAGGTATGGCATGGTAGTAAAAATCAAATAGGCCAGTTAAAAAAAAAGAAAATCAGGACAGAACAAGGGAGTTGCAAATCCACACTAAGATTTCTCACATGCCAGTCTTCCAAAAGGAGGATTACATGTTTGGCTCTGAGCTTCCCAACACCCAATATTAAATGGAAAAACTGGCCATGTACTGGACACTATGTTCATGCAATAAAAGTCCAATTGCTCAGGAAAATGACAACAAATCCAGGAGCTTAGGTCAAACAAGAGCTCTTCTGCAGGAAGAATCTTAACAGAAACATCATATCCCATAACAAAACAACACCCATATCTGAACCAACCTCCACACCAAGAATGCATGGCCAGTTTCATGAGACTGTTAGCATCACCCAAACATGCACTTTCAGAAAGCAACTCATTGGGGCCCAATTCCACATGATCTATACACCTTGCCCTTGTTGGTCTGACTTGACTCAGAAGTGTTTAAAAATATTCAGGAGATGGGCTGGGGATTTAACTCAGTGGTCCCTGCGCCTGCCTTGCAAGCGCAAGGTCCCAAGTTTGATCCCCAGTACCAAAAAAAAACAATATTCAGGAGATAGAAATACACATAATAAGCAATTTTTGAAGTACTGGATATTGAACCCAGAGCCTTCACACTGAGCTACATCTCCATTCCTTTATGTATTTTTATTTTGAGATACGGTTTTGCTAAATCACTTAGGCTCAGCTCAAACTTGTGATCTTCCTGCTCCAGCTTCCCAAAGTGCTGGGATTACAGGCATCTACTGCCACAACTGGCTTACTAAGCATTTTAAAGCAGTCATCTCTGGATTTTCCTTCCTTTTAACCAACAAACTGAGAAACAGTGCTCATGAGATCGAAACTGTACACCCAGACAGCAATTGGCATTGGCAGCTGGTGACAACCTCCAAGCCCATATGCCTTCCTCAACTCTGAGCCTCCTTTTTTCTGGTATGCAGGAATAAGATGATCACCAGAAACCTTCTAGTTTTAAGGCCTATGCATTCTAGAGAGTCAGAAAAAAACTGGGAAGTCTCGGGAGCTACAGAGATGTAGAATCACACTGCCAGCCCAAGTTCCTGCTACTGTGCCATGGCCACTAGGACCTACCGAGGGGAGGATAAGAAAGGAAAGTCAAGCTTGCCCTGGACCCAGTGCATGCAACATTCAAAGCCATGACCCTAAATCTCATCGCAGTTCCTGTTCGTCTTTCAAAAATTGCATCTGTCTATCTTGGTACAATTCCTAGGGCCCATAACACCCGACAAAAAATGTTTAGCATTTATTGCAGGTGTTTGTGGAAGATGCCTTAGGGATGACTTATGGTTGAAAGGATTCCCAAAAGAAACTCATTTTGGATGCCAACTCCAGTCAGGTATGAAGAGTAGGTGGCCTCATTTAACTGATGTCAACACAACTGCATTTGTTT